AAAAAAAAAAAAAAAAAAATGGAGGAGGTATGTAATATATTCTCCATGGTCTCGTTGGGCATCTTCGTCTTTGATAAAATCACAGTCTAGGGTGAAAGAATGATCTGGCTGTCCAGTGCTTTGTTTTTGTTTGCTTGTGGGTTTTTGTGTGTGTGTGTGTGTGACAGGGTCTCTTTCTCTCTCCATATATATGTATACACTTACTTACTTAAATTATGCGTACGTGTGTGTGTGTGTACGTGTGTGTGTGTGTGTGTGTTTGGATACGTGCATATGAGCACAGCTACCCTCCAGAGAGCAGAGATCACAGGTCCCCTGGAGCCGGAGTTACAGACAGTTCCGAGCTGTCTGATGTGGGTGCTGGGAACTGAACTCTGGAACCTTGGAAGAGCAGCAAGACCTCTTAACTGCTGAGCCATCTCTCCAGCCCTGGTCTAACTCTCTGTTTCCAGGCTGATCTCACACACCTGGCTCACATGGTCCTCCCATCTGGGCCCCCAGAGTAGCTAGGATTGCAGGCATGACCCACAACATGTACCCTGTGGTTCTTCCAGGTATAAAGACTCTTCCTACATGGCAGAGACGGGCATCTTCTTAGATGTCTGAAGGTTAACCCACCATGTAGATTAGTTATATTCAACTGAACTCTCTGTGTCTGCCTCTTTATCTCTGACTCTCTCTGTCTTTGTCTTTCTGACCCAGGGGAGGAGATAGATCAGGACCTCACACACAATAGGTAAGCAAGCTACACCCCATCCTTCACCATCCCAGTGGATCAAAGATGACGAAAGGCGACAACTAATCACTTAAGGGAAGGGTTTCGTTTTCCCAACAATTCCATCCTGGGTTCTATTATTAGCACCACTTACTACACAAGGAACTGAAAAGGAGAGAGATTGAGTAACTTGTTTAAGGCCTGGTTTCATGAGAGGAGATGCAGGATTTTAAACCTGGAAAGTCTGGTTCTGGAGCTGGAGAGTTTGCCTCCAGGGTGCTCCTCACTGCCTTGCCAGTGCTGGCTAACCCTGTCAGTCACTGTCTCCCAGACTTCTTCAGCCTGGAGAGGGGCACAGCAACGGTCCCACATAGCTACAATGTTGTATAAATTGTTTCTTCTTCAGAGTCAATGTTTCTTTAAATACTTGTGTCCTCCAGTTTTGGCCCAGGTATTCTTGCTCGTTTATTTGGTTTTTATATATCTGTGTGTGTGTGTGTGTGTGTGTGTGTGTGTGTGTGTGTGTGGTTCTGGAGATCTAACCTGGGGCCTGCTACTAGCCAGGCCAGTTTCCTACCCAGCCCCTCTCACAGTTTTATTTAGCGGATCAGACTTATTGAGGGGCTGGGGAAATGACCCAGTGAGTAAGAACAGTTGCTGCGACAGCAAGAGGACCTAAGTTCCAGTCCCAGCCTGCATGTAAAAAAAAAGGCCATAAACTGGGTGTTAGTGGCGCACGCCTTTAATCCCAGCACTCAGGAGGCAGAGACAGGCAGATCTCTGTGAGTTCGAAGCCAGCCTGGTCTATAGAGTGAGATCCAGGACAGCCAAGGCTGCACAGAAAACAAACAAACAAACAAACACTGTGGGCCATGGCTTTGCATACCTGTAGCAGTGCTATGGGGAGTGGACACAAAGGACCACTGAGGCTTGCTGCTGACAGCCTGGCTCCCACTTCAGTGAGAGACCCCAGCTCGAGGGAACAAGGAGGAGATTGAAAAAAGACACCCAGCATGTTCGTCTGGCCCTGCGCTTGACCAGTGCATACACTGTGCACACACACCACCACCACCACCACCACCACCAACAACAACAACAACAACAACAACATTAATAAAATAGAAGGGGAGAGCAATAGAAAGGGCTGGAGAGATGGCTCAGTGGTTAAGAGCACTGGTTGCTTTTCCAGAGGACCCAGGTTCAATCCCACATGGCAGCTCACACCTGTCTGTAACTCTAGCTCCAGGGAATATGGCATCTTTACACATACGTGCAGACAAAACATCAATGCAGCACATAAAATAAGAATAAATATTTTTTTAAAAAAGAAAGTAAACCTAATGGTTTCTAGTTCTGGCCCATCTCTGGTCTATTGGTGACTACACAAGCCATTCAATTGTTTGTGTCTTTAGTTTTTCTAGTAAGTGAAGATAAGTGTATTCACTATGGTTGCTTTAAGGAACAAGTGTCTTGGGGCTAGCCTCAGTGGATAAAGGATGAGGACCTAAGTTCAGATCCTCAGCAAAATCTGGTGGGGTAGCCCTAGTGCTTGAGGTAGGTAGCGACAGCTGGATCCCAGGGGCTCACTGGCAAGCCAGTCTAGAGGAAACAGCCAGCTCTAGGATCAGTGAGACACTAAAACGGAGAAGCAGCCAAGGAAAACATAGCCACGTCAACCTCTGGGTTTCACACAGGGTAAGTTGTACCTACATGTGGGCACGTGCACACATACAGCACTTGAGAAAGAAAGGCAGATGGAGTTCTACAAGTTCAAGGCCAACCTGGTCTACATAGTGAGTTCCAGACCAGCCAGAGCTACATAGTGAGATTTATCTCGACTCCCAACCAACAAAAGAATTATGTGTACCAGTCCATATGGTACCACAATTGCTGCCATTAGAACCAGTTCCTCCTTTAGCGTCCCGTGCTGGCTAGTTTATGGTGACATATAGTCACCTAAGAAGAGAGAGCTTTAACTGGGGAATCACCTCCATCGCATTGGTCTGTGGGGGCATTTTTGGTGGTGGCGGCGGCGAGCGGCAGGTGGGGGTTGCGGTGTCACCCCTAAGCACGTAGGCCATATGAGAAAGGGGAAGTGATCCGGTACGCTGCGCACCTCTTTGCTGGGGTTCCTGCCCTGACTTCCCTCAGTGATGGGCTGGGATCAGGACACATAAGCCACAGCGACAGAAGGACAGATCCTTACCTTGTTGAGAAAGAACAGGTCGCGTTTGCTCTTGAGATAGTTGGACAGGTTCCCGTATCGGCAGTACTCCACGATCACCATCAGCGGCCCTGCGGTCCAAACAGCGCATGCTCAAGCACGCCAGGGCAGGCAGCCCGCGAGCCCTCAAACCAACCTCTTTTTACAAGTGTGTGGCCTGCCAGTGAAACTGGGAGGAGAGGCCATGAGCCAGCTACTCGGTTCAGCCTCTGTAGCACAGACATGGCCCTTGTGAATATAACCAAGAATATGACCCTGTTCCAATAAAGTTTTTTGAACACAGACATTTAAATGTCAGGCCACGGAATATTATCCCCCCCCCCCCCCTGCCATCGTGACTGTTTAAAGGGGCAAGCCATTCTGAACACACAGACTGCCCGCCCTCTACCCGGGGCATTGAAGGTCTCAGGTGGCACCATGGAGGCCTCCATTGCATGGCTCCAGGCTTCTCCAAAAGCACAGAAATACTTCCAGGTAAAAGAGGGCATGACCCCAGAAGTCTAGCAGCTAGGAACCAACAAACTCCACAGGCCTCTGTGAAGTACCTGGTGTGGCTTGGAGCCTTGCTGAGGGTGAGTTTGGCCCTCTGGTAAAGCGGTTTTTTAGTTACTATCAGTACTTTACTGGTTTTTTTAATTCTGACAATACCCCCTTGTCCCTCCGGGTGCCAGAAAAAAAGTTGCTGCGGGAGCTGGGGTCTCCCCACACCAGACAGGTCTGAGCCCAGCTGCTCGGTCTCAGGTCTCAGTGACTTGTGTCTTATAGGCACAATGTTTTGGCAGACAGAATGCAGTCCCTAGGGCAGATACTAGGAGAAGGCTTAGCCAAGGTTCGAAGCTATGGGGGCCTGGTCTGGCTCACTGCAACTCTGTGTTTATAACCTCCCTCAAGTCTTCTGTCCACTCACAACCTCCTTTTCTTACCTCTGTTCCTCCCTCTCTGTTTTCTGTGTTGGGAAATGGAAGACCTTTTGGGTACAGTTCCTCAGCACCTTCGTGACTTAAACATTTATTCACCTCTACTCTCAAGTACTAACCTTGCTACAGTGGAAGAGAAATCAGCGCGGGCAGGGTCGCCTGAGAGCTACAGCCCAGCCAGGCTCCTGTTCCCCGCCCTGGGAGCTAAGGTCTGTCCTGGTGGCCCCAGAAGGGAAGGGCCCTTCTGGTTAATTTCCATGTCACCTCCTCTCAGGATTTCACCAGTTGGGGTTTGCAGCTACCAGCTGCAGGGAACGTGTGCCTCTTAAACCACAGTCACGCTCCCCCACATCGCCTGAAGAGAACAAGGGGCGCCATTTGACCTAGAATCTGGGGAAAGGTATCTAAAAGGGAGTGACTTGCTTCCAAAGCACTGGGTGGCCATTTCCAAGGGTGAGAGGGGAGGGAGCTGTGTGCGTTGAGAGCTCCCTCTCAGCTCCTGCAGGGCAGGTAGCACAGCCCCCCTTTTCTCCTTTACCTCCTTGCTTGGTGCAGGCTCCCAGGAGGTTGACCACGTTCAGATGGTGGCCGATATGAGTCAGGATCTTGAGTTCCGTCATGAGAGCCTTGTACTCGCTAGCCGTGGCCCCCTCTGTGTGAGAAGCAAGGAAGAGTCAGGGCACGGGACAATGGGGCTGCTTCCGCCCAGAGGGCTGCATTCCTGCCCTCCTTGTTTGTCCTTGCTCACCCGGGGTTGATCCATTAACTTCCCCACATTCTGCAAAAGGCCAAGTCGCCAGACTGTTTGGATTTCGCCTACCCTCCTGAGCCAACATCCCCGAGGCCTGCTGTGTTGGGGGGGGGTTAGTCACTGGCCATTTCCTTTTGGGGGACCTGGCTCTGCTCAACAATGTGCTGACTCAGAGAAGGCAGCCACCTCAGGACTGCCAGAGGCTTCCCCTTTGAGCACACAGGTGAGACAAGAACCCTTCAGGCAGGGTTCTTGTTCCCCTTTCTAGGGAGTCACAAGAGAGGAAGGAATATGTGTGTTGGGTGGGGTAGGCTCTGCAATGAGCTGCCCCTATAAATGTCTCGAAATGTGTTCTTTTCTCCATAGACCCCTTGGTGCCTGGAATCAAGGGTCACCTCAGGCAGTCAGGATTCCTATTAAGCACATTTAAAAAAATATGTATAAGTGTTTGTGCCTGAACCACATCTGTGACAGGTGTCTGTGGAGGCCAAACAAAAACCACAGCCAGATCCCCTGAAACCTGAGTTACAGGTGCTGGTGAGCCACCATGCCGGCACTCGAAATAGAGCCTGGGGTCTTCCATACAAGTTGCAAGTACTCTTAACCACCCCCCAACTTTAACATCCTTCTTGGCAATAACGTGTATCGGTCTGAGAACCGATATCTAGAATCTAAAGTGGGTTCCTCCTGTATCCATTTTTAATATCCTATCATCCATTTTGAGGCCCTCATAATTTTAGGTGTGTTAAAAATACTAAAACGGGTTCCTGTAAAATATTCCAACAGTGTGAATTAGAGTATGGGGGTCTGAGTAGGGGTGTGTGAGAGAGAGTGTGTAGGTGTGTGCATGTGTATGTTCACATGTGCATGTGTGTATATACGTGTCTGCATGCGTGTGCATTTAAGAGGTTACAGCACAGTGGCAGAACATGTCTCTAGCACATGCAAAACCTTGAGTTTACTATTCAACAACAAAAGTCAAAAGACCAAAACAACAACAACAACAATAACAACAAAAAAAACCCAAAACCCACCCCCCTCCCCAAACTCCCCAAAAGCGATGTGAGAAGTCTGAGGCTTTAGAGTAAAAAGTGCAGGTCACCCGAGCAAAGTGCAGGTCACCCGAGCAGCCTGCTACCAGCTTGAGCTTCAGACCACCTTTCCATGTGTGCTTACAAATCCCCACTGAGGGCTGGCACAGTGGCTCAGTGGGGAAGGAGCTTGCTGTGAGGCTTGAGGAACTTGAGTTCGATCCCTTGGGACCCATGTGTGGAAGAAGAGAACTCACTCTTACAAGTTGTCCTCTGACTTTCATGATACATACTCACACACACGCAATGCACACACACGCATATACACGCATGCGCATGGATATAAACACGCGCACACACCATGCATATACACACGCTCGCACAACACATTGTTTCACCCCCCTTTCAGTATCAAGAATTCTTCTTCCTATTTTTTAAAAAAGCCTAGTTTATTTTTATTTTATGTGAGCACTGGGAATTGAACTCGGGACCTCTGCAAGGACGAGACGAGCTCGTCACCACTGTCATCTCTCTGCCTTTTTTCGCTGCTTTTAATACAGGAATGTGTTGCTTCTGACACGGACAGTCTTCAGTTGTGTGTGTGCGTGCACTTGTGTGTGTGTGTGTGTGTGTAGGCCCGAGGACAGCCCCAGCTTCATTCCTCAGGATCCGTCTACCATGTATTTTGAGAGAGGATCTCTCTGCGGTATAGAGCTTCGGGGACGAAAACGCAGGACCTCATGGGTGGGTGGCAAGCACTGCACACACCAAGCTACTGCCTCAGCCCCAAGTTTTATTATTATTACAAATTTTTACTATGACCAACAAAGCTCCAGCAGACAGCCCAAGTGTGAGTGCGCGTGCATGCAAAGGCTTCTGTAGGACAGACAGTCCTGGAAGCGGGTCAGAGCTGTGTGTGCTTAACACTGTCGTCGATACTGATATAGTATTTTATGAGATGGAATCATTATTTATTTATTTATTTATTTATTTATTTATTTATTTATTGTGTATACAATATTGTCTGTATGTATGTCTACAGGCTAGAAGAGGGCACCAGACCTCATTACAGATGGTTGTGAGCCACCATGTGGTTGCCGGGAATTGAACTCAGGACCTTTGGAAGAGCAGGCAATGCTCTTAACCACTGAGCCATCTCTCTAGCCCGATAGAATCATTTTTTAATAATAACCAGATAAACTCAAAAGCCTCACTGGGGTGGGCGTTGACTTACAGTGGCTGCTCAGCAAATATTTTTGGATAAATAAACAGTGTGATTAGTTTTCTCATTTTGGAAATTTTTTCATTTGAGTGTGAGGACTAGAAAGTTTAAGGTTTATCTCGGGAGCACATTGAAAGGACTTTTGGTTATGTCCTTTGTCTGACATTGTGATTTTTTCTGGTTTCCCTAGAACAGAGTAAACTACTTTAAGTAGGAAAGCTTGAGAAATCAGTTGATTTCTTTCTTTCTTTTTTTTTTTCTTTATTTAATTTTTTTTTTTTTTAGGAATTCTATAGCATGGATGGTGTAGAAATCTTTTTTTCTACCAATGCTGGCAATGAAAACAAGATGTCTTTATAAAGATCAATTTATTTTCATTTTATGTGTATGACTGCTTTGCCTGCACATATGTGTGTGTACTGCATGTGTGCCTAGTGCCTGTGGAGGCCAGGAGAGGGCGTCAGATCCCCTGGAGTTACAGATGGTTGGGACCTGCCATGTGGACACTGCGATTTGAACCCAGGTCCTCTGGAAGAACAGTCAGTGCTCTTAGCTACAGAGATGTATCTCCAGTCCTGAATTTATAAATATATTCCACACATGATTTCTGGACTATGTAGAAGAGATTGGCCTTGAAAACAATCTCAAGTTAGATCTTCTCTTTATAACTTAATAATTCTTGACAGTGTTATCTCAGTTTGGCAAGGAGAAAATGCTGGGACCTGTGGCTCAGACAGCTCAACCTTTCTGAGCCACTTTTCCTCATCTGCAACGGTGTGTGTGTGTGTGTGTCTGTGTGTGTGTGTGTCTGTGTGTGTGTGTGTCTGTGTGTGTGAAACACTGCATCTCGCAAGAGTTGATTAAAAAAAGGTGGCTCAGGCTGGGTGGTGGCACACACCTTCAATCCCCCCACTTGGGAGGCAGAGGCAGGTGAATCTCTGTGAGTTCGAAACCAGCCTGGTCTACAGAGTGAGTTCCAGGACAGTCAGGGCTACAGAGAGACCCTATTTCAAAAAACAAAAAACAAGTAAACAGAAAAGACGGCCCAGCTTGATTCTGCTAAAGTGCCTTGCCCGATGCTGTCTCCAGCGGAAGCCACGCTGATGCCAGTTCTCAGAATCTAGGGGTGGAGGACAGCTCTGGCTCTGATGGAATTCTCGCAGAAACACCCACTATCATCTGGGCAGTCCACCCCAAGCAAACTCCTTATGCCAAGGTGGGCAATATAAGTGTGGGTA